TAAAGATGTTGACTGGACCAAATTTTTGGAAATTTTCTGTGACAAATACTTCCCTCAATGTGTCCGGGACAGGAAGGTATCAGAGTTCATGGAACTAAAACAAGACAACATGACAGTGACTAAGTATGAGGCCAAATTCACTGAATTGGCCAGGTTTGCACCACATGTGATTGCTACTGATTATAAGAAAGCGAGACATTTTGAAAGTGGCCTTTGAAACGACATTTTAGAAAGGGTGAATGTCTTGAAGCTGGAAACCTATATTGGGGTGCTAGACCGGGCCATAATATCAGAAGCTAACATAGCTAGATAGGCCAAATCCACAATAGACTGGAAAGGCAATAAGAGACAAGGCTTCTTTTCAAAGAAGAAAATTTTGAAGAAACAAAATACGGGCTCCTCGGGTACTTCTAATTCCTCCTGAGATACATCCCCAATGTGCAATAGTTGCAGTAAAAGGCATCGTGGGGTTTGTTACCGTGTGTCAGGAGCTTGTTTTAAATGTGGTAAACAAGGGCATATGGCCATAGATTGTAATCAAAACAGTGGAAAGCTAGCTGCTAGCTCAACTGCATCGATCCCGAAGTTGGGAAAATACTATGAGATCTACTACCACCGGAGATACAGTGAGACAAGGGAGAGTTTTTGCACTTGTTCTGGGCGATACACGGAATGCTAATGCAATTGTCTCAGGTACTATTTCTATATGTAATTAGGATGGTTTTGTGTTAATTGACTCTGGATCAACACTCTTTTCTAACATGTGCATTTGCATCTAAACTGAGTAGACCTCTAGAATTATTGCCATATCTGCTATGTGTATCTGCTCCATCTGGGGAATCTATATTGTGTGAATCTATATACCGATTTTGTGACATGCGTATTGAGGATGTTATCCTATATGTAGATTTGTTGCCCTTGAACTTAGACATTTCGATGTAATTTTGGGCATGGATTGGTTAACCAAATATTGTGTCACCATTGATTGTGTGACGAAACAGGTTATATTTAAACCACCAGAACATAAATAAATTGTGTTTGTGGGTAATGGGGTAGCGCCTTCACCTTACTTAATATCTGCAATGAAGGCATACAAATTAATCAAGAAAGGGTGCCAGGGTTATTTGTGTTGTGTGTTATCTGAACAATCTGTGGATGTTGAATTGAACGATATCCCTATTGTTAGAGAATTTCCAGATGTGTTTCCAAATGAATTACCAGGGGAATTGGTGGATAGGGAGATAGAGTTTACGATTGAAATTATGCCAGGTACCCAGCCCATCTCTAAAACTGCCTATAGAATGGCTACTACTGAAATGAAAGAATTGAAAGAGCAGTTGCAAGACCTGCTTGACAAAGGGTTTATCCGACCTAGCACTTCACCATGGGGTGCACCAGTGTTGTTTGTGAAAAAGAAAGATGGAACTTTGCGTTTGTGTATCGACTATTGAGAATTGAGCAAGGTAACGATAAAGAATAAATATCCCCTGCCTCGTATTGATGACCTGTTTGATCAGTTGCAGGGATCACAAGTGTTTTCCAAAATTGATTTAAGATCCGAGTATCATCAGTTGAAAGTAAAAGCAGAAGATATTGAGAAAACCGCGTTTCGAACAAGGTATGGCCACTATGAATTTCTTGTTATGCCATTTGGGGTAACTAACGCTCCGGCAGCATTTATAGACTTAATGAACCGAATTTTTAAAACCTACTTTGATGAATTTGTTGTAGTTTTTATTGATGATATATTGATATACTCGAAGAATAGACTTGAACATGAACAACATCTGAGGACTGTTTTGCAAACACTTAGAGAAAAGAAATTATTTGCCAAACTAAAGAAATGTGAATTTTGATTGGATGAAGTTATCTTTTTAGGGCATGTGATCAACAAGGAAGGAATTTCAGTGGACCCACAGAAAATAGAGGCAATTGTGAGTTAGCCTACACCGACTAATGTGACAGAAGTCCGCAGTTTCATGGGCTTAGCCAGGTACTACAGGAGATTTGTGAAGGATTTCTCAAAAATAGTTGTACATCTTACCCAACTGACACGTAAAGGGCAACCATTTGAATGGAATGGCGAAAGAGAATTTGCCTTTCATGAATTGAAAATGAGACTGACCACCGCACCAGTTCTGACATTGCCATCAGGTACAGAAAACTTTGTAATTTTCAGTGATGCATCTTATAAAGGTTTGGGTTGTGTATTAATGCAGAATGGAAGGGTAATTGCTTATGCCTCCCGACAGTTGAGGCCACATGAGAAAAACTACCCAACACATGATTTAGAATTGGCCGCAGTTGTTTTTGCTTTGAAGATCTAGCGGCATTATTTGTACGGGGCAAAGTGTGAAGTCTACATGGATCACAAAAGCCTGAAATACTTCTTTATGCAGAAAGAGCTGACACATGCGACAGAGGAGATGGCTTGAATTGATAAAAGATTATGATCTTGAAATCCAGCACTGTAACAACCCTCACCTTACTCTTGTCATACTTGCATACATTCATGCATGATCTTTGCCTCGATGTGTTGTTTTGAAGGTCTTGTCTTGTCTTGTTTTGTTTAGAGGTTGCTTGGTTGATTTTGTTCCTTGTACTGAATAGAAAAGGATCTTGCAAGATTTTGAGAATTTTGGAATTAAAGTGGTATGGTGTAAACAGGGCGGATTAATAACCGCTATCTCAACCGAACCGGTGATCATTGACGAGATTAAACAGAAACAAAAAGAGGATGAATTCCTCAAGAAAGTGATTGATGAATTTGAGACAAGTCCGAAAACAGAATTTAGCCTTAAAGGTGAAGTGTTGAGATTTCGGAACCGAATGTGTGTCCTAGATATTCCGGAATTAAAGAAAAGAGTTTTAGATGAAGCCCATAAATCAGTGTTTGCTATGCATTCGGGTAACAATAAAATATAACGGGATTTGAAACAAAGCTATTAGTGGCCTAAAATAAAGAAAGAAATTGCAGAATATGTGTCCAAGTGCCTTCAATGTCAGCAAGTTAAAGCTGAACATTAGAAACCAGGCAGTCTACTTCAACCTCTCGCTATTCCTGAATAAAAGTGGGAACATGTGACTATGGATTTTGTTGTTGGTCTACCCTGAACCCCTCGAGGTATGGATTCCATTTGGATTATAGTTGATAGACTGACTAAATCTGCACATTTTCTGCCGGTTAGAACCACATTTAATGTTTATAGACTAGCTACAATATATGTTGATGAGATTATCCGTTTACACGGAGTTCTGGTATCTATTGTGTCGGATTGATATCTGAAATTTGTGTCTAGATTATGGAAGAGTTTGCAGGAAGCTATGGGGACAGAACTGAGATTTAGTACTGCATTCCATCCATAAACAGATGGGCAATCAGAACGGACCATACAAACATTAGAAGATATGCTGAGAATGTGTGCCTTGGATTTTCATGGGAGTTGGGAAGACTATTTGCCACTAGTAGAGTTTGCATACAATAACAACTTCCACTCCAGCATCGGTATGGCACCATATACGAGGCTTTGTATGGTAGAAGGTGTAGATCGCCAATTTGTTGGACAGAAGTCGGGGATAGAGCTTTACTTGGGCCTGAAATTGTGCAAGACACTTCCGAGAAAATTAAAACTATTCAGCAAAGGCTCAAAACAGCTCAAGACCGACAAAAGAGTTATGCAGATGTTCGAAGAAGACCTCTTGAGTATGAGGTTGGTGACCATGTATTCATTCAAGTGACTCCGATGAAGGGCCAAATGAGGTTTGGAAATAAGGGTAAATTGTCACCCCGTTACATTAGGCCATTTCAAATTATGGAAAGGCTTGGTCCAGTTGTTTATTGAGTCGCTTTGCCATCGGGATTCGAACAAATCCATAATGTATTTCATGTATCAGTGTTGAAGGGTTATCTTCGAGACCCGTTTCATGTGATTGACTATCACTGGGTAGCTCTTGATGAAAATATGGAGTACGCCGAATGGCCAGAACGAATCATTGACCGGCAAGTGAAACAATTGAGAAGCAAGTTCATCCCAATGGTGAAAGTGGAATGGAAAGAACACTATGGGACAGATGCCACATGGGAAAAAGAGGATGAAATGCGACTATGCTATCCGCATTTGTTTCCTGACGAAGGTAAAATAAGTTTGGAGGACCAAACTTCCTAAAGGGGGGAAGACTGTGATAACTCCGTCCCGTATTATGCTAATTAATCTTAATTAATTTTTGTGATTATGTGTTTGATATGCTTTGGTGTGCCATTTATACGAATATGTGCGATTTTGAATTTCTACTTGTTCATCATAAGAAAATCTGTTTGATTACCTATTCGGAAATTAAATTGAAGGCAGAGGTCAAAATAAATAAATAATATAGGGAGAGGGGGACCTCTGCCTTGAATATTTTTTCCAATTAAAGAATTTCCAAGCTGGCGATGATCATGAAAATGCTAACATTTTTCTAAGCTTAAAATCCCTCAGAAATTTTATCCTCTTCTACAATTCTCCTTTTTATTTTACTAATTTAAAATAAATAAATAAAATAGGAGAGCTCAATTCATTGTGATAGTCTTTTATAAGCATAATTATAAGAGTTCCTATTTGCAAGAGATTCAGAACTAGAACTAAAACGAGACGAGGAGAGGCATGGCTGGACCCCTAGTCCCACCAACATCCTCCTGAAGAGCTACAGTTGGGATATGAGAATCACATCACTCTCACAATGACTCGAACCTAAAGTTATATGTTGGCTAAATTCATGAGATGTTCGAAGAGCCCCATGTTACGATAATAAAATATAATCCTTTGGTAGTAGGGCCCGTCACTTCGAGTTAGTATGAACTATGTTAACATATGTGGTATTTAATATTTTGTTATTGAAGTATTAGGCTTTTGGAGTAAAATTATATGACAAGTAGCACGCACCACTCTAAAACATCTCAATAATTTTATGTGACAGAGGCTGAGAAATTATCAATATTTCCTATTCTTCCTATGGTGTAGAGTTTGAAATGAATTTTATATTTGACAGTTGTGCTGTGAATGATTATATACAAGCAGTTAGGAGCTTGACATGCGAGATGCTAGATCTAGTGGCTGAAGGTTTATTTGTTCCAGACAAATCCGTCTTCAGTAGGCTCATCAGAGACGTCCATAGTGATTCATGTTTCAGGCTCAATCACTACCCTCCTATGGAAAACTCTAGGGAATGGGATCCATCTCCAAAGCTTAATGCAAACACTCGTATGGGGTTTGGAGAGCATTCTGACCCTCAAATCTTGACCATCTTGCGATCAAACGATGTTGAAGGCCTTCAAATTTGTTTACATGATGGGTTATGGGTCCCTATCACTCCTGACCCCACTGAATTTTGCGTGTTTGTAGGTGATGTTTTACAGGTTAGTATATATATTCATTTTTATTATTTTACCCATATTCAGTATGCAATTATTATTTATTTTTTATACAGAAATTATGTTTGTATGACATTTTCATTAACTCCCATTAAGCTTGACAAGTCAAAACTATGAAACTAGAAATAAAAAAATACTCCCAAAATGAAATGTATGAACTAAATTTATTTTAAATATGATTCATACTACATTAATATAAACTTATATCATACATTTTATTTTCGGGATACTTTTTCATGGCACATATCTTTTCCAATTTTGTTATTGACATATTCCTAATTGATGTTGGCAATGAAAGGCTATGACAAATGGAAAGTTTGTGAGCGCAAGACACAGAGTAATAGTAGCAAACTCAGTGAAACCCAGAATGTCAATGATATATTTTGGGGCTCCACCCCTTAATGCATGGATCTCTCCTCTTCCAAAGATGGTATCACCCCAAAAACCAAGTCTCTACAAACCGTTCACTTGGAGTGAATTCAAGAAAGCTGCCTACTCTCTACCTTTGGGAGATTATCCAAATTTAAATTTAACACATTTTTTTTTCACAATTTTCATAAATATTTTTTTTATTAATTCGATATACAAATTCATTGTATTTTAGATTTTTATATGAATTAGTAACAAATAACTTCTTTAAAAAGTTTCATAATTTTTTTTTAAAAAAATTAGATTAATTTGAAAATATGATGTACTGCATACTTCAACTTAGATATTGGTTCAGTTAATGCAGCTTTGGTAATAGAGCTAAAGTTGATTTGAAATAGTTTTGGAAATAGAGATAATTTGGAATTGGTTTGAAATATATTGAATATAATGACTTAAATGTTAATCCTTCATCAATTTTATTTGACATAAATAGACAAATAATTTAAATTAAAAAATTAAAGTTTAAATTGACACAATTAAAAACTCATAATTTATTTTATTAGAATGGTTGGGTCATTTTTTTTTTAATTTCATTTTTTTTTAATTTCACAAAAAAAAAATTGAAAACGCACTAGACAAATTTCAAAAAGCTGTTAAGACCCAAGTAAGTTAAAAATTGATTTTTTAAATTTTTTTAAGTTTTTTAAAATAATATACAAAATAATAAAAAATAATATGATTTAAGAAAACTAAAACACGAAAAAATTGACATTTAACTAATACCTAATTATAAGGTCATTTGTATGTAAAAGAATGAAGACAATGTTTTAATATTTCTGAATAAAATTCTCCTTTTTTTTTTAATTATCAAAGTTGAGTAAAAAATTGAATAAAAATTTCATTTGATATCAAGTTCTTGAACAGAGGATTTTGAGCTTTCAGCAAGACACCGATCGACTGAGCAAATGACCAGGCGAATGTTCAGCCGGTCGACGGGTCAATATATTTTTTTTACAAATTTTTACCTAGAGATGGTTATTCGGGGACATCTAGGGGACATCGGAGGATTGGCGCT